TGTTGAACCAGAAACATTATTTACATTCTTTTCAATTTCCTCCCACTCCTCATTGGTAAATCCTTGTCTATTATAAACCCCAACCTAAACCTTAAAAAAAGAAAATTAAAAATAAAAGAAAAAGCCAAAAAAACGGCAATTAAAAACACTAAATACTTATATAAAACATAAGTAAGTATTAAGTAATAACAGGTAATAGCCTTTTTCAGCAAAAAAAGCGACATACTCCCCCCATCGCCTCACTTCGGAACTACCAAAAATTAATATATGTTGTTCTTAATCCTTGGTAGTTCTCATTTCAAGAGGTCGGCAAGTTAAGGTTTAGTAGTTTTGTTGGCTCTCCATAACAAATACTTCCGTTTACTCTAATCTGATTACAGATTTCAACGGAGTATGCCAACTGAGGAGTTTCCAAGCTTCCGCTACCTATTGCCCTAGTCAGTAATCTAACTAGTTTCCCTAAAATATAATTAAGTTAGGTGTGGCAACTTAACTTCCGCATTAGCTCGCAACTAGTCTAGTTTTTTTTGCTAGGCTGGTTGTGGGAATAATGAGTTAATTTCCCAACTAAAAAGATAACTTTTTTGAGTTATTTTCTTAGTTGGGAGACTAATCCTCCAAGTCTAACACTAACTTCAACTTCTCTTTAACTTCTTTCATAACTTCTTTATCAACTACTCCAATATAATCTCCTAAGCGGTCTTCTTTTTCAATAGCTCGTAAGCGGTTAAATAAAACCTTGCTATTCTCATCTAAGCCATTTTCTTTATTTTTCTTAATAAGGATTTCATAAGGTTCTATTTTTTCTAATTTCTTGCTACTTAACGGAACCACGATTATTTCTACATCAAACTCGTTTTGCGGATTATTGCTAACTACCAAAGAAGGACGGATTTTCTTAATATAACTTTCTATTTCTAACTCTTTTTCTTTTCCCTTTTTTGGTTTGTAGTTATAATCTATTAACCAAATTTCTCCCCTTTTCGGGATTTTATTAATTGCTTTACTCATCTTCTATTCCGTCTTCAATAGTTCCTTCTCAAACTTTATCTTCTGCTCGCATTTCTTTACTTTTGGCAGTTGATTTATAGCTAGCAATTAACTCTTCCCTTTTTTTCTTTTTCAAATATTCCTTAAAAAAATTGTTAACCAAGGAACTAACTTGACCTTTGGGGACTGAGCGTCTTACTTCTTGATAAATATTTTCTTCGAGGTTGAGATTTATATTCTTTTTCATATGTTTATTTTTTATGTAAATAGCACTTACACATAACCTCTTTTAAGATACTTCCTCCAACTCTTTTTCTTACTTCCACTCATCCTCTGATAAAACTCTTTCCCAATACATTCCAAACAAAGTATCTTATAAGCACTCCCAATCCCTCAAAAACTAGGATTATTCCGATTCTTAACTACTCCATGCTTTCCCGCTCCTTTCAGTTGCTTACTACATAAATAACAACTAGCCAAGTCATAAGGACAATTAGGTTTAATAGGTTCCTCAGTCCTTTTACTCCTCTTTCTAGTTAGTTCACAGCCGATTATATTCCTACTCACCGGTAAACACAACTTCGGACATAAAACATGCTCTCTCTCGCACTTCTTACAGTATCATTTACCTCACGCTTCCCAACCTAAATTAAGGATATTCATATGTCCATAGTCGCAGAGTTCTAAGTCCAATATCTTAATATCTTTAATTCGTCGGTGTTCCTCCCAAGTTAGTTTAGTAGTCATATTTCTCCATATTTACCCTCTTTAAAAAAGTAGCAAAAAAATTGTTTTTCAGGTTTAGGTTTTCCTCTGATTTTGAAAGCTCTATTATATGCTTTTTTCCTATATGTTTAATTACTCTTTCCATTTAATTATTATCACTTACTTACAAATATCGTTTATACCTATATTTTAATGTTTTTTTAAAGATTTTCCCCCTATTGTCTCCTTTTTAAAAAATGGTAGGGCGGATGCCCTAATTTCCAAGGGTAAAAATGGGGGGGTTTTTTGGGAGGATTTGAGGGGTTAAGAGTTAGTTTTTTTGGTTTTTACAAAGTAAAGATTGGATTTTCTTTTTGGTTCTTTTTTTTACTAATAAGTGAAATCGGAAGTTCAGTTATTAGGGGGAACCGAGCAGGTTCCCCTATTTCGATAATCCTTTTCTCTGAACTCTGGGAAAATTATTTTTTTATCTTTTCTTTCAACTCACTAACCTCCATTCGAATAAGTTTTAACTCGCCTTCTATTTTGGTTAATCCGCTAGTAAGTTTTTTTTGTTCCTCTAAGAAATGAGCCAAAGCAATCAATAAATCTTTAAACTGAACGGGGTCTAACCTTACTGTTTGGTCTCACAATTTTTCCTGCTTTTTTTCTGGCATGCCTAATAATTTTCTTTTTTATTTTTTACTAATTCATTCGTTGTATGGTTTAGTCAGACCCTTACTTTTTACCAACATATTTTTTAATCACTAATACACCAACTATTACCACAGCAACAATCACTCCAACCATACCAAAAATTTCACCTGTCCTAGCATTTTCATTTAACCTCATTGACTTATCCACCTCTGTATTTTGAGAAACAAACTGCGTTGATAAATAATAAGGTCGACGAGAATTTGTTGAACCAGAAACATTATTTACATTCTTTTCAATTTCCTCCCACTCCTCATTGGTAAATCCTTGTCTATTATAAATTAAACTTCCCAAGTCACTCTCCAACCTCTGAGCGGAATTGTGAATAAGCCAAACTTGTCCTTGTATTAGTTCAATTCTCCAATTATTATTATCATTTTTAACACGCCTAATTATACTTCCTGCATTACCAATTAAGTTAGAACTCGCAGATTGCCGAGTTTCTTTGACGATAACCGAATTATTTTTATCTTCGCTGCTCATTATTTCCTCAATTCCACCTTCCTTAACTTTCTTATATGGCTCACGAGGACTATCTGCGGCTATCCTCCAACTTTCAATCTTTCCTTGCCTATCAACAACTACCAGCGATTCATCATACCAATCACAATCATTCGGTCAAATATCCCTTTTTAGCCGTTCAGAAACTATGGTGTAAAAATTTCCTGTCTTGTCAACAAAATAATCAATTCCCTCTTGGTAATCTTTTATCTTTTGTTCTAGCAAAAAAATGAGGTCATCCCCCTTACCGCTATCTATCTCTACTCTTTTTTTCATAACTATTCAATCCTATAACGAGTGATGTTACTACCCCTTCTGTATGTAATAACTGTTGGAGGACCTCAATAACCTGGGGCAGTCCATTTATCTATTGTCACACTACACTCTTGTCTTCAATGATCTGGGTCTTCTACTTCATTTATATATTTTGTAACCATTTTTAAAACTGGATTGCTTTGGCTAATACCCATATCACTAGTTACATTAACTACACTCACATTGATTAAAGTGTGTTGTCCACAACTCTCGCAACAGTCCCTACAATCTCTTTTGCCACAACTACCATAGCAACCCGCTTCGTATTTAGAACGCTTGTAAGCGTCGCAATTAGTGCATTTATAACTTGCCATATCTATTTATTCCTTCCTTTGCTGTTTTTGCTGTTTTTAGCACAGCAAGGCAATTTTTTATTGATTTTTACCATATTATTTTCTTTTGTTTAAAATTGTTATTTTGTTAGATTTTTACAGTTCCTAACTAACTGAACCAATTCTTTTGCTTTAATATTCTAATGGTGGAACTGGTTAAGAAATCCAAAAGTCTATCAGTTGAAAACTAATAACCTAATTAGAACCTTACTTTACCCTAATTTTACTTCTTGGGAAAGTCGCTACCTAAACTTTTAACTTTTTGGCAAAAACCTAAGTTAGTGCGAAAGGAGAAGTTTCATATTTTATGCCTCTCGGCTTGTTCTCTCTGCTTCTTTGTGCCTTACCGGCACCGGAAGATTTGATATTTAATAAATAGATTATTTGTCATAAATACTTCATGCAGTTCTTTAATTTATTTTTATATACTTTTATATACTTTTTACTCTCTAATGAGTAATGATTTTGCTCTGTTTTTTT